TCTAGAGTTGTATAAGAGACAGGATTCCATAGTTATGTAAATATGATAATTATTCCAAGAATTAGAATGGAGTATAAATATGACATTAGATTAAAGTTGAAAAGTTCAGCAAAATAGTGATTCCGCTACCATGAAATTGCCCAATTTTATCCAGAATTCATTGAATTGAGCTCACATACACGCAACTATAAAAGGAATTCTGTAGGCCACATAAAGCGACGTGTTTACATTCACGTAGCCCAGAGATTTAGGTCGCCGCGTTGACCTAAATAATCAGCAGATTTCGTGTTTGACAGGCGAAACTAAAATTCCTCTCTGTGCTTTATTCGTACGCAAATTAATTTTTCCTTTCGGTATATTATTCTAAATAAACTATATTTTGGAAATATACTCACTCATTAAATGTAAATCGAAAACTTTCTGGTAAATTTCGGTATCAAATTTTTGAAATGTATATAACTCAACTTTCCGACAAGCTATTGACCTCGAGTAAATGCTATAAGGTCAAACAGACCCTGCAGAATACTGGGTTCACTCTAACTTTCATTTTTGTTTAGCCAATTGGCTAAAGCTAAAAAAATTGGCTAAAGCTAAAAAAAATTTAGCCAATTGGATATTTGTTTAGCCAAAATTGGCTAAAATGTTAAAAATAGTTTTAGCCACTTATCATGCACTTAAATGGCCTGAGTGAAGTTTCATGCAAATGTTTCGTACGGAAAAAAAAAATCGCGACCTGGCCATTTAAATCATTCAAGCATTCAAGGAAAAACCTCCAAGCTCGAAAGCCATTATTTACCCGACAGTCGGCTGCTTTAGTTCTGTTGTTGTGTGTGCACTTGGGCATTTGGGGCAGGCTAACCACTAGCCGACCGTCGTGAACATAGAAATTACAGTACAGACAGGAATTACAGTACTGCTTCGTATCTGCGCGTAACCTCTCATAATCTGCTCGTAGGTTATGTTTTGAATGTAGCTACGAACCACTACGAAGGTCATTGTTATTTTAATTAGCTTTCCAAACTTCGTAGGCTGGATCAGCACGTGAACAATGTTGCAATTTACTAATAAACAATGTGAGAACTTATTGTTTTGTTATTTCCTACCTTATTATTAGATCGATCATGTTTTAAAACTGTGTTTAGTTCGATAGCTAGGTAACCTAGTGGGCCGTCAGTATGTTCGAATTTCGATGTCATTTAGGCCTACGGCCTACATTTTCCCATATAGAGGAGGACAGCAGACAGTAATTTATACTGTTTAACTTTCCAATTCGGAGAATTTTGATCTGATATTGTTCTGGTAGTAGGAATTTCTTCTTTTAAATAATAATACTGATGACACATCATGTACAAATTATTACGATTTCTACTTAAAGATCACGTTGTTTATTGTTTACCGTAATTTGAAGCAGAACCTGCTAAGCGATCCAATACTAATAAACTACAGAAATCACTACTTTGCCGAAGTAATGCTAGTCATGCTAGACCGCATTTTCTTCATCTTTTACTCACTGTCGCTCAGAGCTTTTCAACATTTGCCAAGAGGTTAACCTTTAACACACTTTACTGTGTTCTTATTGGCGTGCACTCTGTCCGATGCTGGATTTTTTGGGGTTGACAAGATGAACTGGCATTTTGCCGAGTTTTATTTTCCATTGGGTTTTACATGTGACATTCGGTAATTTTACAATTAAAAAATGCAGTATTTTGTGTCGGTACTGTAGTCGTTACCATCCAGCCACTGATTGTTACGCTGCCCACTTTATAATAACAAAATAATTTGCGATGCACACAGTGACATTTGTAGTCACACTAATAGAACAACTCACATAAATGTCGCATGGCACTGGCAATGGAGTAGCGTAAAATGGAGATCTTGATCGTGCCGATGGAAAAATATTTCTATGTAGAGGTCAGATGAAAGAAACAATGTATTTCATCAAGTATTTAAAAAAACCATTTTTATTATTTTTAAGCTTTCGCCAAAATGGCTAAGTAACTTTGTTTTTTTTTTTTCGCCAATTCAAAATTGTTTTCGCCCATGGCGACTTGGCGATCGGTTAGCGTGAACCCAGGAATAACACTGCCACTTGGGAAACCTGTCACTCGCTTTCGTTTTTTGCGGAGAAGCTTCCGAAGTTGCTGGTTCTCGTTGGCCAGAAAGTACGCGATCATTTCAAGTGGGTTGAATAATGGCTCTATATACAGTGATAGTAGTAGTGAACATTAATTTTTAGATATCCAGAAAGCATAGATTATTAGCTTTACATACATACAAAAAAATGTAAAATTAAATAATAATTTCATTTTCAAACCACAATTTGAAAACTGATTGTTTCTGCGCTACTAAACCGCATATATATGATGCGTGTCCTCAATGTGCATTCAAGCGACTGAACACCCTAGTACTGTATCTGTTAAAAAGTCAATTTAAATGATTTTCATTCCCAACCACTGGCAATGGAAAGTTTAGCCTCAATTTCAACTAAACTACCACACACAGTTTTATTGGTTGTTTTACTCCTTTAATTTTAGACCTTTTTGTCTGGATTTATTTTATAAATTATCATGATAATAAGAAATTTCTAACCCAGAACTCACCTTTATTTACCAATTAGAAACAAGGCAGCATTTTAAAAATGTTCAGTCAGCATTTGATAATGTTCATTGAATGTGTTTGACTGTGTATGTTTTTCATTAATATCCAATCAAAACTTTTTCCAAAAAATATTAATGCTAGAAACAATTTTGATCACAGAAGAGTAACAGGTCTAAATGTAAGTTCAAAGGTTTTTATAACAAATAATGTGTCATAATTAATTTTTCAATTAACATTTTTTTCGTAGACTGAGATCGAAATAACACGCTGAGATATTTGGAAAAAATGAGTTGGGTTGATGATGAGTGGAAAGAGGGCCTTTCTCACAAGGCACTCAAGAAGGTACAGGAATTGGAAACAAGCTTAGACAGATTGAGAAAGGATCATAAACAAAAGTTGTTCCAGTTAGATACACTGGATGGTGCGTATAAGAAACAAGTCAGAAAATTGGAGGAAGCAAAAGCAGGAACTACGAACTTGGCACGTGAAAATCAAAGTCTTCTAGAATCATGCCGTGATCTTGAGAATAAACAAGAGAAATTGCAGCAAGAGTTGCACGCCAAAGAGTCTCTTATTGCTTGCATTGAAGGCCAGCTGTCTCACTCAAAGACATCGCTAGCATCAGAGGCTCACAAAACAAGTAAAAACTTCATTCATGTATTAACATGTTTCATTAAATTGTTTTAAAGCTTATTGCATTCCACTGTAGGTAATTTGCATTTTCATGATGGAAAAGGCTGTTCACATGGAAACATAATTTATTGTGCTAATGTTCGGAAAAAGGTTTTTATTTTGCAAAGTAACTGCCAATCAATTAATTTCATGGTATACCATTACCATGTGAATTGCAAATAAAAAAGTTGTTGTACGGTACTGTACTGTATTCAAATGCAATGCATTATCATAGGGCCATTCTGTGTCAGATCACCCAATGGTGAATACCCCACTTACTCAAATGAATATTGGCGAGAGAAAAGCTTAAATTTCAAATACAGTAGAACCCCTCATTTACGTACGGCACGGGCCCAGAGCTGTTCGTAAATGCAGGTATTCGTAAAATCGGGGTTGACCCAAACTCCATATTTGCACTGGTACTACTTACACTGGCATAAACTAGGCTAGGCCTACAGGCCTACGCAGCTAAGTCTGAGGGGGCCTAGGCTTACAGTAGGCAGCTTCTAAGCATTCTGATCCTACTCTAGGCCCTACACAAATTTGTTTTTATCGGACATTTTTACCTTCTTAAATACCTAGATTGTAGATTTTACTCCAACACAACTTCCATAGATACTTGTTTATTATATATATTGATCATTCAATAAAACAATCTAGCACTACAGTATGTTGAATTTTAAAGCTGAAAACGATGTTTGAAAGAGAAGTAAAATTTGTCGCATGCACATGTGTGAAGCCATAAAAAACACTGACTTTAAAGAGGCCCGTTAGAGGGCCTCCTTCACTTGAGAATTACCTAGTACTATATAGTATGGTGTGTTGTGTTCTATGCATGCTAATAACCGTTACAATTAGAGCGGATTTTTTTTTTTTTTAAAATCTTTCACTTAAATGTTTATGACGTCATCACCTTTATTTTACGTTCGTAAAATTGGGAATTTGTTAAATCGGGGTTCGTAAATGAGGGTTTCTACTGTATATCTGAAATTGTTTTGATGGTCTACTGTAGGAGGGTGCATAAAGATTATCAATATGTCACCAAATAATTCATCAGATGTTTCATTGACTATCCAAACCCACTACACACAATCATACACACAGGATATAACAATGATTTTTATAAATTTTAAACTGAATAAATTCTGGCTCATTAGTCTATGCTGGCCTTCTTTCAATAAATGAAAGTCATTCCAGTCTGTCTAGGCTATTACTACCATGTGTTGTTGTTTTGTCATTAAATCCCCCTCAAAAATGGTATGCCTCACACTGTGCACATAACTAATTTTTATGGACAAATTTTCCAGTAAAAATGTTTCAATTGGTAGAACAGTGCTCTAGCCTACTGTACAAACACATTTTTCGGGCCAATTCATAAAGACTTTTGATCATTTTAATTATTTAGTATTATAATTAATAATGATTGATAATGAATGATGTTGATAGATGGTTGTTACTGGTATCATTGAGATTTCATATGACAGTATTAATGTTTCAATTACACAATTCATACTCAAGCAACTTGGCCATGTAGCATTTTTAATACATTACATACTTTTATTTTTTTCTAAATTAAGGTCAAATTAAAGGTGAACTTGAGAGAGCTCAAGCAGAATGTCTAGATGTTGTATCAAAACTAGAACGAATGCAATCAGATTATGGTCGTCTGCAAGAAAATTGCACTCATCAAAAACATCAGATTGATCGTTATGCTGAGAAGAATAAATCATTGGAAGGTGAACTGAAGAAGTTACAACATGAGGTTGATAGGCTGGGTGGCTCCAGATCATACAGTACATCCTCCAGAGGTTCGTCAAATTTTCTCACTGTTATACCCTTTTTAGTTTGCAAAGCTGAGCACATAAGGTGTTGTTTTTTTTTTTTTTTTCAATTTAATTGTTTTAAAATTTTAAATTGCTGTGGTATGTAGTATTTTATCAAAATTGTATTCTTCAGAGAGTTCTTCAGAAGACGAAGGTAAAAGCTTAAGAAAACGACTAATGAGCATGGAAGCTGAAAATGACAAATTAAAGAATGAATTAAAGACATACAGAGATAAGGTAACTTTCCTTTTAATTAATTCTATAGCCCTTGTGCCTTTGTTTACTTTCTGCAAACATGTAATTGAATACCAGCTTGGTTTAACTCTTGAGTAGCAAGCATAATGAGCTATTAGTACAATTCATTAATGGAGCATAGCCACATTGTTATTACACAGCTGGTGGAAAACCCTGGGGTATAGCATTAATTTCAAAATGTCATTTCAGGCCACAGGATTTTAAATTTTATGGGAAACTACTTTTGGTTTCCGTGCCCTGTGATCATGGGAAACTATCCGAAACCGTTTTTAGTGTTCATGGAAAAGTCATGGGAATCCATATTTTCGATACTACAGTAGAACCTCTCATTTACAAACCCCGATTTTACATTCCCGATTTTATGAACGTAAAATCATGTCATTGTTGTCATATAAGTTCCTATTTCATGTACAAATCACACACGCGTGTCAAGAATTAATCGGTAGGCGTGTGCTGGAGTTTATTCACTCGGTCTTAGACGGCTTGCTGTACACTATCAGCGCTCTCTGCTACCATACAAAATGCAGATAGTGCGCTTTGAATACACCGACATTCAACACGGCGATCATACTTCATGTCTGCAGCCGTGAGAAAACTCCGCCCAATGCGCAAGTTTTCGGCATATCGATAGGCGCAAGATTTTTTCATCTCTGAATACACCACCCTCATATCGTAATTTAATAAACCCCCTAATTATCAATGGATTTTATTTATCAAATCTAACTAACGTTAATCTACCATTTCATTATTTCCCCCATAAAATAAGACACTGACACTCACATTTTCTTTTTAACATTATACATTACATAAATGTTAATGGAGGCGTAGAACAATCGTATTGCATACAAACAAACAAAAGTCCAAGCGCCGTGTCTACATCCAATCAGCGCTCTTCTTTTAAAAAGTTGTGAACCCCTGGTTTCCGGGTTATTCTGTAAAGGTAATTTACTTGACGCCACAAGCATATGGATCGAGTGAAAAACGTTGCGTTACTCGCTCTGTTGCAGCGCCCGCGTGGCTGTGTTTCTTCGAAAGCTAGAAGATAAGTCATATTATTGCCTGAGAAAGAGTGAATAAATTTTGTACACACATTAACAAGTACAGTATGCATAGTACTGTACATTATTATGATCTTTATTTTGAAATTCTTTCGACGGCAAGTTGGAATTTTGGCTGCAGTCCAACAAAATGTCAGTCCAGGCCTAGCCTAGCCCAGCCTAGCATATTGGTAGTGTAAATACATAGGAATTTCACACAACCCCAATTTTACATACGGATGGCCTCTGGCCCCGCTCTGTACGTAAATGAGGGGTTTTACTGTACTAGGCCTAGGTCTAAATATAAATAATTTCTTTTTAGTAAATTAGGTCGGTTTTGTCTAAGCCGAAGCCCAGGCATAAGCCTAGGCCTAAAAAAGGCTGCTTTCCACTAGACGAATTTATTCGCGCTAATCGCAAATTTTCACCTATACACATGCACAGTTTAATTTTCTTCACAAGATTATTACTTGCGCAAGCGTATTGGTCAAATTTTTCGATTTTCGCAAATAAATTTGTCTAGCCTAGCCTAGGCCCAGTGGAAAACAGCCTTTTTTAGGCCTAAGCTTAGGCTTAGTCAAAATTGACCTTTACAAAACATTGGAAAAATAAAATTGACTTTAACTTTGTTAATTAATAACAACATAAATCAATTAATCAATGCAAAACATTGTCGACAAAGATAAAAATGCTTACTATTTATTATGTCAACCCGCGGCGGAGATGAGGTCCTGATTAGTCGCACGCATGGGTAATTCCGTCCAAGTACTAATAGAGCAAGCAGTAGTGAGGCGCGATCTGTTGTTATGGTTTTTTTTTCAGTCTAGCGTGGAAGCCATTTTCTCACGATACGATCGGATGGAAGACCTCTGCGATAGGGTCTTGGATCATTTTGGCCACCGCTTATATGAATTGCTGTTCAGAATTAAAAGTATTAACACTTTTCCACTAAAATTATGATTGTGGTGGCTAGGCCAGACATGGGAAACAATTTTTCGTTTCCGTGACTTTTTGGTCACGGTAACCACATGGTACCGGAAACGATCGTTACCGTCAAATCCGGTCGCCTGCATTTTAGCTTTTGTTAAAGTGTGAACAATACATGAATATTATAATTCATTAATTGTCTAATGCAGCTCATTAAATTGAGAAAAAATGTGACCCAAGCTCACAAACAGGCTGTAAACTTGTCCTCAGGCCAAAATGAGTTTTTGTTATAGAACATATCATTTACTTTAAAATGACAGTTAAATGAAGTCAATCGGTTGTCTGGAAGCAAATTTATGACCGTTTGAATAATTGTCATCTTATCAACTTTCTTAAATCAACCTCTTAGAGTTGGAATTTTACACTTCAGGAATAGTAAGATTAATAGTTACACTTTATTTATTACACAAAAACCCAATTCACACAAAATTCACGTTTTACGCCCTATTCTTGGTATTGAGGCTTGTTTCTCAATACAGTGCACTGCGAATTTACAGCCCGTTTGTGAGCTTGGGTCACAAATTAGTTTGGCAAAAATATGCCAACCTTTCTCTGAGGTTAGCAGTCTTTGCAAGTTTTTAGTCCCTACATGTAGGCCTATACAAGCCTCAAATTTTACGGCGACAACCGCGCCCATTGCCGCAGGTTGGCCTTGGTGCCCCTCAAAATGAAGCACGACGACGGCCACTACTTTCCTGCCCTTTTGCAGCCTTGGCCTCGGTGCCCTCATGACACTTAATATAGATCATTTGACACGTAAAATCTAAGTAAGAACGCAAAATCGTAGGTCATGTAAGCTAGCCTAGGCCATGTTGCAGTGACAGAACAGAACATGTGAGAATTTCCATGTGTGTTGATACGAACGTTTTGCGGTTACCGTTCTGTGCGCATGCGTTTTACTCTAGCGGTTATTGCAATATAAACATGGGCTTATTCGACTGGTTCATTTCGTTGGAACGAATATTCGTTGAGTATTATTCTCATTCGACTGGTCCGTATTAATAGACTTTTCGTTGACAACGATTGTTGACAACGAAAATTAACGTAAACCAGAGTGCGTTAATCAGCGTAAGTTATCCATGTGACCAAGGAGAAACATGGCCGATTGGTGATTTTTTTTTTAACAACATTTGCGTTAATATAATTTAGATTATATTTCATAAAATAAACATAATATTTACCCACATGGATTCAAAAAATTATTGTAGGCAAACAGAATAAAAACTGGATGAAAATATTTCTTTTAACGAAAAACCCATACTACCACAAGTTGAAGCAATCTTGATTACTCAACGTGTATCGCTGTAACTATACAGCCATTTTGTTTTGTCGAGTATTTACAAGTTTTCTATTCGACTGGTCATCTTCATTGAGTAGGATGATACCGCTGCACAGGTGGGCATGGTTTAACAAAGAACGACCAGTCGAATACGGCCTTTGTATAGTTGTAAACGTGTGCTTGCTGCACAGCTAACTTTGGGCGATCTTACGTCATCGCAGCTTTTGCAGCCATTTTAGAGTTGTGGCTTCCTCTCCGATGACGACGGACTGAGCAACAACACAAAGATATTGAACTTGAAATTTGACTGTTTTGTACGATCGCCGACTGCCGCAGTATATTCCTACACTGAATCGATAATAATAGTTAATACTCTAAACAAGGTCATATTACCATTGACAACTATGGCTTGGCCTAGGCCTAGCTTGCCTAGCCTGGCTACGACGAATCAAGGCACTCGCGAGAAATTAGTACTGAGGCTAAATCAAATTTTGCCTTCGGTGCCCTTTTATACTTCAAATTTTGGCCTTGGTGCCTTTCCATTTGGCCTTGGTGCCTTTCAAAATCATGTCATACCGGAGGCCATTTGGCCTTGCCCATAAAATCCCCAAATTTGAGGCCTGAGTAAGCCTAGCCTAGGCTAGGCTAGGTAGGAGGTCTACTAGGCATAGCCAGACTAGGGTCTAGTAGGCTAGGCCTAAAACAACTGCCAATTGAAGCCTAGGTTGTAACCTATTTGTCTTGGCTTCATCATAGTAAATTATTATTATCATGTCTGAAACATTGTTTATTTTAAAAAGAACCAAATTAAATATGTTGCCTTTACTACCGATCGCATCGTCCCGTGACTTCGTCAACAAACACATGTGAGGAAAGCGATTTTTTTTCTGCACACTGCTTTCTTAGCTTGTTGCATGCAAGCAAAGAGTATACAACTGCAAGAGGTCCGACTGCCCTTATTTTGTATACAGGCAATGGAACGTTAAAAAAGTACTCCCAAAGGGGGGGTGTCCTTCATTTAGAATGTAAAAGGCGTTCGTATCGAACGCGTGCTGCTTTTCGAATTCCAGCATACATTCTAGACACGCAGCACGCGTTCGATAAGAACGCACTTCACGTTCTTTTAAGGTCCACGCCCCTTTTGGGTAGTACTTTTTGAAATAGGATTGCGTTCCAAAGAATCCCCGGCAGTCGGACCTCTTGCAGTTTTATACTCTTTGACACAAGCTTTAAAAAAATTAATGTTGGTGGCGCACTTTACATTATGTTCCTGGTGCTCAAGATGGGGAAAAAACGATCGTTCTTCGTCGATTACAGGCATTTTTAGTCGATTTTCAATTAAAAAATAAATAAATAAATTTAATAAAATTTGTATTAGTTTTTGTAGATCAGTTTAGTCTAGCTTTAGTTTAATACTAGGCTAATTACAAGATATTTTGTATAGATATTCCAACTAGTAATCATGTTTTTTTAATTTGCTGGTTTGTGAATTTTTACCTAGCAATTATGACAAACCTACTAGCAAATTGCTAGTTTGCTAGCGTGAATTTCGAGCCATGCTGTACGGAATAACCCGGAAACCAGGGGTTCACAACTTTTTAAAAGAAGAGCGCTGATTGGCTGTAGACACGGCGCTTGGACTTTTTTGTATGTAATACGATCGTTCTATGCCTAAATTAACATTTATGTAATGAATAATAAAGTTAAAAAGAAAATGTGGGTGTCAGTGTTTTATTTTATGGGAGAAATAATGAAATGGTAGATTAACATTAGTGAGATTTGATAAATAAAATCCATTTTTAATTAAATTATAAATCAATCCTAAATGTGACTGTAGGCCTATATGCTATATTGTAATCTCTCTTTATATATCATTGGTTAAAATTAATTTGGTAGTGGGTTAATTACGAAGATTATTTTGTCTTTTCTATTACATAAATGTTAGGGCTAAGACACACATGATTTAAATCATGCGGCTATCGATTTGCGACAACTTACGCCTTGGGCTGAGTTTTCTCACGGCTGCAGACATGAAGTATGATCACCGTCTTGAATGTCGTATTCAAAGCGCACTACAGTATCTGCATTTTGTATTGTAGTGGAGATCGCTGATAGTGTACAGCAAACCATCTAAAACTGAGTGAATAAACTCCAGCATGCGCCTAATGATTAATTCTTGACACGCATGTGTGTTTTGTACATGAAATATGAACTTCATTTATGACAACAATGACATGATTTTACTTTCGTAAAATCAGGAACTTGTAAAATCGGGGTTCGTAAATGAGGGGTTCTACTTTATATGTGTTATTTTAATAGTGTACTATAGGGGCATTCCACAGTATTTGGTCTGTGAGGGTTAAATTTTAATTCTCAATTGTTAATATAAATTTTGGCTAATTCTCAAAGTAGATATATCAAAGTTAGATAAAAAAAACTTTTCATTTTTTTGATGGATATTTTTTGAGTTATTTGATATTAAATATTAAAAATGTATATTTTGTGTCACGGACGCGGCATTAAAAAATGCTAAATATTTCTTAAACAGTAAATCTGATAACAAAACTTTGGTGCAGACACAGTTACCTTGTACTTCCTCTCTTATAAAATCATGTGTTTGGTTGAAATTTGTTATTCATTTCATACTTACACATCAAAATTCATTACTGTCCCATCCATGACATTTGAGGAGGTTTTTTTACATTCATTAGGAAAGTAATGCTATGAAAAATTTAATAATCAATTTTCTCCTACTAGAGACTATAACTTAATATTTTATCAACCAATTTGTAGATAATATTTTGTTTAACCTGCCTTTAATATAATATTTAAAAAACAAATTGTCACGGACAGGACAGATTTTGTCACAGACAAGCCAGTTTTGTCACGGACGGGACACTTAAAAAATTACATTAGCCTATTAAAATGAATATTGTACAAACAGTTTCAGTGAAAGTTTTGACTTGCCAAGCAGTTTTTGAAGCAAAGAAATCTAGCATAAAAATTCTGGCTTGGCAATATAAAGATAATTATACAGCATCAATGCAAGTGATGCAAGTGTAATATAAGTTCATCAATAATACAACAATTAGCAGAAAGTGAGATTAAACAAGATGTAACATTTCTTCCAGGTTGAAACTTCAAGCACAGGACAAAGAGATCTTTTGTCTTTTGATAACTCTGTCCCAGCCCCAGTTGTAGATCTGCTTTCTTTTGATCCATCTCCAAAGAAACAGTCTACTGATTTGCTTTTGTTTGAGCCACAACCAAGTAAGGCTGCAGTAGTGGACCTGTTGGGTGGTGATCAGGATTTTTTTGGTGGACCAACATGTGGACTGATAAACCATAATCCACTGATGAATTCTTCTACAAATGATGTTGAATTGGAAAAGCTCCAAAAAATGGTAGAAAACCTGGAAAAAGAAAAGGAAGGTACTGTATTGAGGTTTTATCAAAAAATGTACTGCCAGGTCCAGCTTCAGTAGTTCATTTTCCTATGTTTTTATTATTTAAATTTCTTTGTAAATTTAAGAAAGTAGACCATATAATTGTTGGTAAGGTCAGAATTTTTTTTGTATATAGGTGGTAAATCAGCAAAAAATAAAATGGATTTTTGGTGGTGTCTCATTGGAAATATTATTGATTTTGTCCAGTAGCTTAATATGGTCCATGTGTACATATTCTGCAATTTATATACAGTATATCTATAGACCTGTTTTTTCATGCATCTGATACCTTGGGTCATCCCTTTTGGCCATATAACAAAAATCTAATAAGTTTTGCATATAAAGGTACTAGAATTAAATTAGTATTAATGCAGGAGAGTTGAATTTGTTCTCAAATTACTCAGAATACATGTATTTCCTTTAGCTGACTGTAATGTTTACTTCAAATACTACTGGGAAAATATTTATTACCAAAAAACCCTGTTTTTATGGCAAAAACATGATTTTTATAATTTTTTTAATTTTCAGGGCCATCTAAAGCTAAAGAGCTAAAGTGACAATTATAGATCACAAATAAAATATTTTTTTTGAATTTTTATTTGTTATCTATAAAAACATACTTAACCCTTGGCGTGTGGCGTCACGACGACGCCCTCTTTGACCATAATTCATAGCGAGGGGCATTGTACGTACGCCTTGTATAGATTTCTTGATAATTATTGCTGCGAAGCAGCCAATTCATATTCTTGACAGCAATTTAACCTCTGAAAGGTCATTGTTTGTCAAAAAACAAGGGTCAAGACTGAAAAGCGGAGTTTCCTTTTTTCGTTCTGCCGGGTAAAATAAATTACTTTAGGCGACGTTTGTAGACTAACCAACACATACCAACGTCCTAGACTAGGATGGTATAGGCCTAGCCTTGAAGGGACGAAGGTCCCAATGAAAAACAACGTCGATCCTTGATGACTAACATTGTCTATTTAACATCACAATAATTAACTATGATAGACCTATAGTTGTTTTTTGAATTGTACTCCACAAATCTCAGCCGATGCCTCGCACAACTCGAGTAACGTCTCGTATCTATTGTCATGGCTCATTGGCTCACACTTGCGATGTCTCGCACTTGTGATCAAATAACACGCTAGCTCACACTTTGGCAACACTCTTTGGCAGTCAACTCGCCCCTAGAAAACCCGCCCTTGGAAACTTGCCCCATAAAAAAATGCACACTTCCTAGACCATGCAGTCTTCAAAATAAAAATTGTAACCTTTGGTAATCAACTACATTTTCCACATACATAGAAATTTTTGAAACTTTATTAAAAAAAACCTAAACCATAATTCACCACTATAGACACTTTTTGACAAAAATGAACTTTGTTACCCAATGAGAAGTGTTCTAATATAGACAATGGGTCGTGTCTCATATTATTTGTTATATTTTTATTATTCAGTATTTTCACTTGACTCGCATAAATAATTTTGTTCGAAGAACATTTATATGCATTTGTACTTCGCAGCACTTTACTTGCAATTTGCAATTTCTAGTTTTATAGGTAGGCTGCACGCTATAGGATTTTTTGAGAGTGATGTAGGAGTATTTCTGTAGAGGGCCTCCTGTATTCAGACCAAATAAAATGCCTGCGGCCAGTAAAAATCTGACATTTAGTGTAGATGTAATTTCTCAGCTTTGGTACAGCCTCAGGCAATGGTAATAGGGCAGACTGGAAAGGGTTAATTTACTTAAATAAAATCATCGGTTTTGGTAAACTTCATGCAAAAATTAAAAACTTTAGTGTCAAATTGCTCGTAAAATACAGTGTTCTCCCCAGGATTTTTTAAAACTGTATAAAGGGAAAACGTGCGGCGACACCACGTTCACAGAGATCACAAGTTGGAAAAGCAAAAAATAGGGAGATGTTTTCGTGAAACGATCGCCTCCTATAGCGACGCGCTGTGACGCCTTACAATGCGCTGCGCAACATGAAAGTATTACACAAAAAGATTGCAGATGCCCTAAAATATAAATTTATAAATATTAATATTATCTATTAAGCATTGTGCTAGTAGAGCGCTTTGGCAGCAGTCAACAAGGCTTGGTTCATGCTTGGCATATGAGAGGCTACAGCTGATTTACTACATCTCTTCAAATATAGAATTCTAGCAAAGTAACTGCAACTTGCTGAGAAATTAAAAACATATATTTTAATTTAGTAAATCATACTACATGTTTTAGGTCAGCATTTATGTCTAGCCTATAATAACTGGTACTTAATGCCATGAAGAAACGTTAAATCTTGCCTTGCTAGGCTCCATCTATACGTGCGTAACTAGACCCAAGGCCGCAGAGTCTGGGCCACCACACACAACTTACAACTCCCTGGTCAAGCTTATGACATTTTTATGGCTGTGCGAGTGCCATAATATATTGGCTTAAGATAATAAATTTTGTTTCATTGCTCTATGACATCGTTGAATTTAAATTTTTTGTGGAATTTTCAGGATATTTTAAAAAATCGGGAGAAAATAATAAAAATCGGAAGGAGGGAGACGGCCTAAAATATCGGGAGAAACCCGCGATTTTCGGCATATAGGTCTAATAAGCTAAATAATAATTCATTGTTAAGACAACAATTAATAAACATTTTCTTTTTTGTAGAGATTTATTTATTATCACTTAGCCATGATAATTTAGTATTAGACAAATTCGAGCAAGTGTAAGAAAAAATTGATGCACAAGGAGAGAAAGCACATGGTTACCCTTTCACCTAGTGCCAGTGGTGCATGATTTGTGTTTGTTTTTTGGATAAGGGCCAACTTTCACTGCCTAGGATTGAGAATGTCGGAGTAGTTGATGTTGTATATTAGTAATAGGACATAAAAAAACCTATGTCATCATGGGTATCCATGGAACACAAATAATAGACTGTGTTTTAAATAGGTTAAATAGAAAGTGTGATGTAGGCATCGATGATAAGTACCGTAAGACTGCTGGGAAAGTAATAAGAAAGTGATGGCGAAGACCATGTTCCAAACTTTCTGCATTGCAAAATGTACTTTGAACATTGTATGGATGTCCTACAAAGATGCCTTAATGCCTCCAACGGTAGATTTTAACAATTTTTTACCGCAAAGAATATTGAAGCTAGGCATATAATAAGATTTATTGATTTTCTAATTTTCGCATTGTAAGATTCTCTTTTGCATTATGTGCAACTTTAAGTTCGCCCAATAATATAGTGGGCCATCAATCTGGACAACATTGGGCCTAGCTGAAGTGAGACAAATATAGTTTAGAATCTGTCTCTTATACACATCTAGATGTGTATAAGAGACAGCTTGGAAACTTGCCCCATAAAAAAATGCACACTTCCTAGACCATGGAGTCTTCAAAATAAAAATTGTAACCTTTGGTAATCAACTACATTTTCCACATACATAGAAATTAAAAAAAAAAAAAAAAAAATGACAGAAGAGAGTAGTTTATGGATTAACTTGCATATAAAACAAAGACCGAGGCTAGGCCTAGTATCAAAACCAGTCCAGTTTCTAGGCTAATCGTCACATAGTCATATCTCAGCCAGTCAACAAGTCCAGGTCTAGCTAAGAGAACTGCGTGGAATAGTACTACATAATACCAATCTTCCTACCAATTCACGCATTGCCTGCCCAGTGTAATTGTTGTAGGGGTAAGCGTTATACGCCTTGATGTAGGCCCTACTACTGAACTGCACAGGAGGCCTAGGCCTGTAAATATTACTATTACTATATATTATGTAAGGCATGCTGTTGCCTCGTTTATTCTCTGAGAATTTCCCCTTTTCGATTCATAGACGAGTTTGATAACATCCTAGTATCACTATCAAGGCACAGTTTCTTGAATTTATCATCGTCAAACAACTGTGGTCTCCCATTTTTCCTTCGATTCTTAAGTAGCAAATGATACCGCATAACAACGACAACCGACCCAATCGTCTCAACTCGTCCATCCTCCTAGCCGGGCTGGGAATGAATCCCGCTGGGCTGGCATAGTAGGTACCTTCTCCTGTCGACGATTTCCCAACGATATAGGGCATAGGCCTCACCTCTGGCTCAAAGACATCCATAGCTAGACCTAGATCGATCAAATCTACCACCAAACCTTCCCATCTATCTTTCCACCATTACTACTCAACCAAAATAGGCCTACTGTTTAGTTTTTTTATTCATCATACTTGTCATCTTCTCGCTCACTTGCTTTTTTACATGAAAGGATCGGAGCGAGCGAGAGCAGCAGAATGTATTGGCAATTTAGCGCATTCGCAAAGCTCAGAGCGATTGACTTCCCGGAAAGTGAAAAAAATCAAGTGGGTACGGTGGAGAATAAACGATAATTGCGAAGAAATACGTACTTGACGTAAAATAAAAACTCCAGAAACGAAAAGTTCGACTAAATTCACCCCAGTTCAGTCATAAAGTGTAATTTTTTGCCCTATTGTTTGTTTGTTATGAGTTTTTCAAAATGCCTGCTCTTTAAAAGGTCATTTGTGTGCAAAAGAATAGGAATTTTGCTGGGTAGGGTAAGTTTACCTATACCCCCACTTTCAAAAAAGTACTTTTGTTCAAAAAAATCATGTAGCAAAACAAAATTCAGAAAAATCCCGAAACATAGGTGAATCAATAGGTTGATAATAAACATAATTTATAATCAATACAAAATTTTTGCCCAGAGCTGGCTGGACGTTTCAATCGTCCCAATTAATTTTAATCCTGCATTAGCTGATAATTTAATCTGCCTATTCAGTGTAATACGGCCTAAAAATTTAGTTCGTTTCTCTTTTACTGATTGAATATTGCATTACATTTATTTTTGTTATCGTTTATGGCTAAATGGAAACTTTTATCAGGCCTGGGCATAAGACCCATTTTGACTGCTGCCTTTATTGAAGTTGTAAAATAGTTGTTGATGATTGTCATGGTTCGATGATATAATAGTGATATTGTCTGCAAAGACTTAATAGCCAGCGGTTTTGATTTTGTTATTTATTGTTTCTAACAACTTCCGACGAATTTTAGGCAGTGGTCGTGTAGGAGGCACACTTTTCCTGAATTTTCTATCTGAGCCCCCAATTTCCTCTTCTTGTTTCCCTATATGAGGCATGTTGTGGCGAAATGGTAAAGTTGTCACACAGTCCAGTAATGAGTAAATGAGCTATAAAATATGGGACCTCAAAAAATTGATAAAAAATCCAAATTTGTTTTTCACTATAGGTCAACAGTTTAATGTCTTATTAATCATGTCCCAAAGTATTAGTTCTGGAAGTGGTTAACAAATTGTTTATTTAACGTTACTTTTCATAGTTCATTCAATTAAACAATGTATGCACAAATAACTTTGAAAGGCAATTACTCAAAATCCTGTTTATCTTGACTCTTAAAGTACTGTACTTTTACTTTACAATAACTTAGGTTTGAAATGTCCAATTTGAATGAATGATCCCTCATTTTAAAGATCACATTCTCAGGTATTTGAAAATACCAATAACTTGAATTTAAATTTTTGCTACAACTTAGTCATTTTGCCACAACATGCCTCATATACTTTACTGAAAGTTTACCAACTAATAGAATCTTACACACCTCTGCTAAATGCCAACCAACTGCTGGAGCATCACATTCAATATAAATTTAGGAATCAGTCTAAGAAATAGGTAGACTTAGCACAGCCATGGCACAGCACAGTGAAACATGGTCCCAACATTGTTGATGCTGTAAATAACTCATACAAGGTTTATCGGTAAATTTAAGCTTTAAACTAAGCTTAAACTTTTTTTCTGGATAAAGCTGTAATGGGGCCGTTACAGCTTATTGCTCTGGGGAGAACATTGCAATACATGTTTTTCTTAACATTGTAACTGGAACATTTTTCTCTGAAAATTACCAGGAAAATATCTATACTAAAAAACCCGCTTTTAGGGCAAATTATGATTTTTTAAATAATTTTCAAGGCCATCAAATGCTTTTTATAATGTTCCAGGCCATCAAATGTTTTAATTCATTCAATTCTGGCAACTGGTATCTAAAGTGACAGTAATAAATGACACAACTAAATGCCATTATATATTTTTTTTATGTTTACTATATGCATAAAAATATACATAATTTTACTTTTAAAAAGCTTGTTTTAGTAAAACTTTTATTTCCTGTGTGTCTGTTTTTAGAGTTAAGATGTAGTAGTCATAAACTTGAACTTCAAGTTCAGACAAAGGAAAAAGAAGCTGCTAATCTGAAGACCGAAGTTCAAGATCACCGCAATCATTTAGAAGAATACAAAAAAGAAATGCTGCAAAAAGATGAAAGAATAAGTAATCTGATAGTAGAGAGCAACAACGAAAGTTCTAGAACTAAGGAAGCTAACACTAAGGTACATAATGCTTTTTTTTTTAAATATATGAAATACATTTCTACGTGTATATTTGCAGAGGCGGATTTAGAAAGGGGCATGGGAGCACATGTTCCCGGTTTTGCTGCTGCCGGTGCTAACTTACTTTTAGCGCCCAAGTTCAAGGTAATTAGATTCTGTCCTCAGATACTAGACCTCAACAAACCAAGACAATTTGGTTGTACATTCTTTATATGTTTAATTTCAAATCATCAAACAATATATACCACAACTTGTTTTTATTCATTAAATGGTGTGGTATATAACACAATTTACATTATTTTTAGATTTCCTTATATTTTCCACATAATATATATTTCACTTTCAACAACATGCAATATAAGGTGTGCAGATTATACGTCTACAAAATGACCATATTAAACGTTAAATTTATATTTTGGTTTATTTTTGATAATAGCTGACATGTCTATATGAACTTATATATTTAAACAGCCAGATATAAATACGCAACTGTCACAAAGTATTAGGCTTTTTTAGAGAAGTGCTTCAATTCCAAATCTCATTGAAACCATCTTACTTTTGCAGTGCTTGTGTCATACCGACGGATAATAAGAGTCGCGACACACGAATTGGTGCCAACACGTAGTTGGTCCTTCACCTTGTATAATAATAGTCCTATCAGCACAACCATCGACCAAACCGTCACAATTACAGCAATTATGTGTCTCACTGAGCAATAACCAAATCAACAGACAAACAGCACAGTAACTCTGCAATTTAACATCAAAACATTGCATAATGATTTCATTATTACATAACCATAATAAAATGCATTCATTAACAATAACATTGTTAATTTGACATATATATATATATATATATATAATAATATATATATATATATATATATCAAAGCTCCACGATAATAATATCTCTGTTTTAACATTTGGACATTATAAAATCTTTGCATAGGACTATATTTATGTTACCACCTGAACGACATTTGAAACATTTAACAATGCATTTCCCAAATGTACATATATCCATGACTTTTATTTTAACTAACATCATATATTCGTATTTTACAGTTGATGTATTTTATAAACTCACTGAAACAATAAACTCGTGTTTTTGATAGTAACTTGTTAACATGACGTCCATTTTTAGAGTCTCCAGACTTCTATCGTCACTTTGGGTCACACCCACATGAACCACGTCATTTAACATTCTTGTGGCAACCACGACATAACGACGGAACACCAGTCTTACTCGCCAAAATTGCACTATAAAATTTAACAGATAGGCCTGCAAGACGCGCAGGCTTCCACCTATCACAATTTGTGATAGGCCTGCGTAACGCGCAGGCTTTACACTAGGCATTTTTCGTTTTGACTACGCGGCCAGTCTACTACGAACTAATGGACCGTGACGGCAATGCCAAGACACTGTTCGCGTACTACACCAAGAGCTGTTTTCATTTTTTAAAGCGACTACGACGACGCAGCACATGTACGTAGGCCTACGGAGAGGGCGTTATTAGTCGACTATGATTTTATTACCAGGGAATAATGTTCCCTTGTTTTATATTTGAAAAAGGAAATGTGAAAAAAAAAAAAAACCTTTAGTCAATTAATACTACAAAATAAAAAGTTTCCAGAAAACACTGAGTGATGTATCGCTGTTGGCTAGGATAGGCCTACAGGCTCGGCCTAGCCTAGGCCTAGGTGTCAAAAAAGAGTCGGGAACCGGGGGAAGAGGGGTGTCGGGCCTACTCAGGCAATTTGCCAAATGAAACGATGATGTTCAAATAAATGTACATAATAATTTTAAACAGAGGTATTTATATAGCAAGGCTTGGTCCACGATATCATGGCCGCAGATGCCCTAGCTAGCAGCACCAGATAATGTGTTTTTTCCTACCCGAAATCCACCCTGACAAGGCTAGGCCTAGCCTAGGCTAAGCCTAAGAGGCCCCTTTTTTCACTATCCTTTGATTTACCTAATTTTATGCTGCGACTATTCATTCCTCATTTATTGTATGTGTATAAATAGGCCTTCATAAAACATTTAATTACTCACTTGTTTTAATAATAATTATTGAACAAACAATGCTCGATCGCGGATGCGATGAAAATTGCAACCCCCAACAAAAAAATTACCAGCAGTTTGCCAAACAATCCGGTTATTTGATTTGTCAATATTAGGGTAGTCGCCAGTACGCCAAATTCAGATTGGGTTTTTGTCGCGGAAGCTATCACAACGCCGATTTAGCCAGTAAGGTTTGTGAGCATGCGCAGCTGTCTGTTATGCTTTATTAGTTCGTAGTAGACTGGCCGCGTAGTCAAAACGAAAAATGCCTACTTATCAGACCATGTCCGTCACTCTTGAAATGGCAAGTTAGTATGAATTTTTACACGCGGCATTGAATCAATTGAAGAATCGCAATCGCACCTGAATATTTAAATTCATCTCGCGTGCTTTATTATTGAGGGTGCTATTTATTAATTAATCTCAAAATAATCTAGTGCAAAACGTTATCCAGGTTAAACGTAAGAACCGGTTTTTCTTTTTTTTTTAACATAAAATAATACAAGTGGCATACAAATACTAAATGTTACAATAGTACACAAACTGAACACAATTCATACCATTATTGGATACTTATTTATCTATATAATTATATTACATCTAGGCCTATATGAAATAGTTGCCTCCTTGTTTCAAAATTTATGGATCCACCCCTGGTTTGACAAAAACTTTTAACACCAGTTTCAAACACAATTTTTTTTTCATATTGTACTACTGTATTTTTGTATTTGCTGTATAGAGCAAAAAGAGTGTCACAAGGCAAAAATTAAAACAATCGGTTGTATTGCCCATCTTCAACCAAACAAAAGTTGTTTATGATCAGGCAACCTATAGTTTGTGATTGTACAATTTGTAAATTAATTTTATGGAAAACAAGGAATATAACTGAAAAGATTTGCTTTTAGTTACTAATTATATTCTAACAGCAACTACCATAACACACTTTATAAATATTTATATTTGCAGCTTGCTGAATCTGAAAGAAAATTGAAACTCATTGCACAAGAAATGGAGTGCCAGCGACATAATTTTGAGGCTGTTAGGCAATCTCTTGATCAGAAACTTAAGGAGAAGGAAAAATCACATAAAATGGAAGTTTCAGAGCAAGTACAGGCCAACATTCTTATGGAAAAGCAATTGAATGAAACAAAAAACAAGATGCAACAAGAAGTGAATCACTTGACAAATGAGCGCAACAATTTACAGACTCAACTTGAAAGAATGCAAAGTAAGAGTACAAAAGCTGAACTTGAGGTTAATGACCTTAAGCTAAAGGTTAATGTCTCAGAGCAAAGTATGCGATCACATGAAATAACAGAAACTCAACTGAACAAGAAGATTTCAGAAATCACAAAGGAGAAAGATATGTTGGCTTCCAGATTGGAGCAGAGTACTTTCAAGTTGACTAATCTAGAAGATCAGCTCAAGAAAGTGAAGCAAGAACTTTCACAAAATGAAGGAACCATCAATAACCTACAAAGGAAAGAATCTGAGAAGGAAGCAGCCATGGCATCAATGGGAGTTAAGTATGATGGCAAAATCAAAGAATTGAGTAACATGCTAGAAAATCTGAAAATACAGTGTGCTGATCTTCAGAATAAATTGTCATCTGCTGAAGATATCATGAAGAAACGTGAATGCGAAGTTAGTAAGGTAAATGTAAAGTTGGACTCTCTTAAGATGGAGAAGGAAGTTATGACAGAGCAAATGCAGAAGAAAGAAAAGGAAGATAGCTCATTACAAGAATCATTGTCTTCTTTAAAACAAAGTCACCAAGATTTACTAAATACAGTTAAAAGAGAAAAAGAAGCAGCTAAAAAGTTAGAAAATATGGTAGAAGAAAAGGATGTTAAACTTGCAGAGTTAGAAATATCTTCATCTGAAATGGCTAAAAATATTTCCAATTTGAAGAGACAAGAAGGGGAGCTCAAGCAAGAGTGCCAGTGCATGTTAAATGCACTTATGAAAGAGAAAGAGACTGTCAAGAAGTTCCAGATTCAAGTAGAAGAATATGAGAGTAAAGCTTCAGAGCTTAAAGAATGTATTTCCAGTGGAATTGAAAGGGCTAGCCAGCTGCAGAAGCAAGAAGAATCTCTGAAACAACAATATGAAGAAACATTAAGAATGTATAATATGGAAAAAGAAGAAATTAAAGGGTGTAAACTTACTTTAGAAGAGAAGGACAACAAGATCACAGAACTCGCAGCATCAATTGAAAATGAATTACTGAAGGTTTGTAGTCTACAAAAGCAAGAAGCAGATCATCTTGCCAGTATTGAAGCACTGAAAGCAACTGTTGTATCTCATGTTTCTGAAATTTCTACATTAGAATCTAAGAACAAAAAATTGTGTGAGCTTGCGGATGCAAAGAGCACTGAAGTAAGGGATTTGACTGACAGGTTACAGGTGATATCTTCTGAAGCAGAACATTTTAGAGCAAGATTGGAGACTGCACAGGTAGAACTCCAAGATGTTTCAAAAAACAAAAGGTAAGACCATAAATATGCTACTTTTAATAATGTGCCAAAACAATTCCGCCATAGGTTTCTACCATTATGTAAAATTTTAGTAGTGGTTTTAAAAATGGTTATGAGTTTATTGCTAGGCTCATTAATTTAAAAAATAACTGTATTTAACTGAACTGCAATCTCTAAAATATAATTAAATATTGAAATTGCTTACACAGTGCTATGGATGATACATGTGAAAATCTTAAGTGTCTACTTATCGGAAAAGACGAGAAGCTTGAGAAATTGGATGCAGATTTGACAACAAGGAAGAAACTCTGTCAAGAACTTGAACAAAAAATGCATGGTAAGAATTACTACGTACCAACATGTTAGTTTAGCAGGGGACAAAATGTTTCTGTAGTTCATGTGTCTCAGTGTGATTCTTCACTGAAATGCTCAGTTGAACTGTTTATAATAGTAATTCATTGCCATTTCAGAAGTAATATCATTAGGCAAGGAGAAGGAAGCAGAATTGTTGGAAGCAAAATCAAGGTCAGATGAATCTCTTAGAAAACTTTCTGAAGAAGTTGAAGTCCATATTAAATCAGCACTGGAAAGCCAGCAGAAATTGGAGGAAGCAGTGTCAAATGTTGAGCACATTAGTGGACTTCTTGTTGAGAGGGACCAGCAAATAGGCAACTTGGATGATGAAATCAAGAATCTAAAAACTGAAGCTTTGGCTGCTTGTCAGAGAGAAGCAAAAGTAAGAGAGTTATTAGCTGAAACATCTAAAGAACATGATTCTCTAAAATTACAAAATGAAGAAGTAGGTGTAAAGATAATGGCTGCAAAAAAAGAAATCGAAGCTAAAGAGGAAGAGTTGCTTCTAAAGGATATTGAAGTCCAGCAATTACAAGATGTTATGTTAAATAATAAGAAAGAATTTGAAGAGCTAACAGCCAAACTTGAAGAGGTCCATCAACACAACACAATGGTGGTTGAGGAAAAAGAAACCAAGATTCAGTTATTGTCTACTGAATGCAGTGAAGTATCCTGTGAGCTCAAGAACATGGGTGAGGCATTACAGAAATTGGAAATAATAACAAAGGATACTATACAAGAAAATGAAAACCTTAAGGATAAGGTGGCTGGACTTGAAGTAGTAGTTAATGCTAAAATGATGGTCATAAAAAAGCAATCTGCAGAGATGCTTGAACTCCAGGAGCAAATTGAGAATGTGTCTTCTACATATGAAAAAACAGTTGCAGACTTCAAAACAACCAACGAATATTTGACTAATGAGAGTGAACAAATAAAAGAGATAATTCACAACAAAGAAGATGAGATTACGAAATTAAAGTCCTCATTTGAGCAAACATCCAATTATTTGGAAGACACAAAAGCAGAATTGTCTACAAAAGTAACAGAGTTTGAAGGGTTAAAGAAAAATATGGAGATGATTAAGGAGCAATTAGTCCAAAGCAAAGATACCATTTCATCAAAGGAGAAGGAAAAAGAACTACTGCAAGCAAATATTCAGGACTATGAGAAGAGAATTGATGAAATTTCTGTCAAGATGAATGCTGAAATTAGTCAGCTGGAACAAGAAATGTGTGTCTTAGAAAGCAAGCTGGTTAAATCTACTGATTTAGTTCAAGACAAAGAAGATGAGTTACAGCGTCTACAAATGGAAAAAGAAGTTTTGTGTAATGAAAGTCAAGCATTACAAGGATCACTTGATATTTTGCAAATGGATATGGAAGACATAACTGATACTGTTGAAGCACTCCAAGAAAAGAATCAGCAAATTACTGAAGCCTTTGATGCCAAAAACGATGTCATCAAGAAAAATGAGTCAGAATTTGCAAGTATCAAAAAAAGCTTGGAAGAAAAAATAATCAATCTGTCAGATCAATATGATAATGCCACTAAACATGTATCCTCTCTAAAGGAAATGCTTGAGAAATCATCCAATATTGTAAATGCCAAAGAGGAAGAAATTTTTGGTCTCAATCAACAGAATAGTACATTAAAGGAAGAGAAGGAAAAAATGCAAGGCCACCTAGATCTTATTCAAATGGACCTAGAAGATAAAGAAAGCAACTCAAAAGCCTTGTTAGAAAAGGTTGAGGAACTTGAGAGTGCATTACAGACACACAAAACACTGCTCCTGAAAAAGGAAGAAGCCATTGGTATTGTTAAAATAGATATGGATATAATGTCTAGAAAAAAGGATGAAGAGGTTTTAGGTTTTGAAGGAAAACTTTCAGAGAAAGAGTGCTATATTGAGGAGTTAACGTCAGGTCTAAGAGAACAGGAACATGAATTAATGATTCTGAGGCAAAAAGAAGCTGACCTTAACAGCATCCTCGCAAAAAAGGAATGTGAAGTACATTCTTTGGAACTTGAAGTCAAGAAACACAATGAGGAAAAAGATGAAATTATGGATTCATTGAGCGGAAAGAAACAAAACATAGCTGATTTAAAAAATGAGATATTCAGCATGAAAGAAAATCAAAGTCAGACAATAGAAACATTTAAGGAAGAAATGCTACAAAAAGAAATATATATATATGAAAAGGAAGAAAAAATACAACTACTTGAATCTGAGTTGAAGGGTCTCAATTCTTTATCAACAGAACTAGAGGAGAAATTAGAGTCTGAAAGACAAATCTTGCAGCAAGATGTTGAGCTAAGCGAAATTACCATTCAGAAGCAAAAGAATTCAATGGAAGCATTAGAACACCAAGTTGAAGAATTGAGGAATAAGGTAGAAGTGGAGAAATTGCACTTTTCAACAACAATTGCAGAGAAAAATTCTTGCTATGAAAAGATGGAATCTTTTCTCAAAGGGGAAATTGAACAGCTTCAAAGACGACTGGCTGATTTACTTGAGGAAAATCAACAAGCTATTGATGTTGAAATGCAGAATGTAAAGGCATTACAGACAAATTTAGAAGAAAACATTGAATGCTTAAATAGAGAAAAAGATAGAGCAAATACATTAGAAAGTAGCACACAACAGACAATGGCTGAAATGGAATCAAGGATGGCTGAATGCAATTCAATCATTAAAGAAAATCAAAACAATATTCTATCACTTGAAAAAGAAGTTACAGAGCTGAATGACAAGCTAATTATCGCTTACCAAACAATTGAGAATCATAAACAAGAAAAGAATGACCAAGTAGAAAGCATGATGAAAGCTGACAAAGAAGTTAAACAAATACGATCGGAAATGGAGCTCAACATATCAATGCTTAGTTCAGAATTACAACAAACATCAACAAAACTGCGTGAGATAGAAGAGAATCTTGAAGAAGTCATTAAGGAAAAACTTAAAATTAAAAATGATTTAAGTCAAGCTCTTAGTAAAAACATTAGAGATTCTGAAATAGCAACAAGTGAAAAAGAGTCCTTGCAAACCCAGTTAGAGTCTGTAGAAAAAGAATGTGATGAATTAAAAGTTCAACAAGAATCGATGAAAAATGACAAGGACAGTTTGTTGAAAGCTAAGAAAGATTTATGCCTTCACTTGAAAACAGCAGACAGTTCACTGGAAGATCTGTTATTAGCCAAAAATGAAACAGAATTAAAGTGTCAAGGGTTGTTGGAAGATAAGGAAAAGTTAAGCTTAGAAATAAGGGCCCTGAAAGCAGTAATTTCTGATTTGCAATCAGAACTGGCTATAAAGGAACGGCACCACTGTGACTCAATCTTCTCCATAGAGAGTGAAGTAAAAGCCCTGAATCTTGAAAAATTGTTACTTCAAGAATCTATATCTGTATTGAAGACAGAACACTTAGATGCTGTTAATAAAATACAGGGGACATTTAAACATATGAAAGAACATTCAACAATGTTAGAAATGCATCTAAAAGAGGAAATAGAAGATAAAGAGTCTAAAATAAACTCTTACACAGATAAGATAAACAATCTTACCAAAACTATTGAAATTAAAGAAGCAGAAATGATATTGAGTGCTGAACAACTGAATGAGAATTCCACTGATTTAGAACAAGTTATTAAGGATCAAAAAGATAAGATAGAACAACTTAAGGAGAATGTTGAGGAACTAACATCCAATTTGGCACTTGAGAAAATGTCAGCGTCTGAGAGCATAACAGAAGTACGTTTGCATTCTGAAAAAATTGTGACATCTTTGAAAACTGAAATCAGACAACTAGAACAACAATTAGTGGCTTTACGAGAAGAGCATCAACATGTTTTAGATGCAGAATTGTTGAAAATAGAAGCTATTGAACTCAAATTGCAAGAAACAGCACAGTGTATGAACAGAGAAAAAGACAGAGCAAATGAAATAGAAATTAATTCACAACAAACAACAGCAGGACTTGAAAGCAACATTTCTGAATGTAATTTAGTAATTAAAGACAGTGAAACCAAGATTGCATCACTGGAAACAGAAGTTGCAGAGTTGAGTGATAAGTTGCATATGGCATTACAAAGAACTGAAGATCTCCAAAAAGAAAAGCATGTTGAAGTTGCAAGTTTGAGGAAAGCTGACCAAGAAATGAAGCAAAAACAAGCAGAACTTGAACAACACATCTCCAAACTGAATGCAGATTCAGAAGTGCTGGCCAAAAAACTGAAAGTAAAAGAGGAAAAACTAGAAGAAGCTATAATGGAAAAAGATAAAATAGAAAACAATTTAAAAGCATTGATGAATGAAACATCAATAGCACTTGAAACTGCATTGACAGATAAAGAATTGATTCAGTCTAAATTTGAAGAAATTGAGAAAGAAAGGGATAATTTGAAAGAAAATTTGGAAAGAGTTTTAGAAGATCATGAGGCAGTTATCATGGCAAAAGAAGAGTTGGATTACCAGGCTAAAACTGCCATAGAAGAAGTTGAAGTACTGAATGGCATAAAGAAAGAGCTGGAAGCTAAAAATCAAATCATTTTGGAAGATGGGGAAAATATGAAATCTAAAATTGTCTCATTAGAAGAAAGAATAAAAGAATTTGAAGAAGAGTTGCAGAACACAGAACAGAAGCAAATAGACCTGTTGCAAGAAAATGCTGGTAGATTTGAAGAAGACATTCGCCTACTGAGGGAGGTTAACTCCAGTAGTCAGTCAAAGATTGAAGAAATGGAGAAAGATAGACTTACTCATGAACAGGTAGGTTTTTGATGTATTTAGTTACAAATATCAATGTAAAAATGAAATTTTATAATGTAGAAGCACAAAAAAACCATACTATAATGTGTATAGGTGAGATTCCTTAATTACATACCAAATACCAGTTTGACAATCAAATTACATTTATTTATTCATTTAATACTATATACACTATTTTCAAAATATCCATTATAATAAAAAACAATCAACCTCATCTACTTAAAGCTCTCTCCACACTATCAAATTTTATGTGCTGTGTACAAATAAATGTGATATGCCCCTATTTGGGTATAGTATGACATTATCATGGCCATATATGGCCACGTCAGGTAAATTGTTATGCTGCATTGGGGCCAAATTTGGCCTATGAGCTGCCTGTTATGAACTAAGGAGCTAGAGGTCTAAAAAATGCTTAAAATAATTTGGTTTTTTTGCGAAGGTAAATTCAGCTAGTCTCTAGCGCAGTAGACCACGCTGCTGCACTGTCGGTTCGTGGTAGGCCTGGCCGCCGTCAGCCTATCGGTGCTCAGTGGCAGGGGATATCTAGGTATTGGAAACTGACACCTGATCAAATTTTTCAATTTACGAACACCCCTGGGTACCAAGTGTTACATAAAGTGGACGTTTTACTGTAATATTCAATTCACACGTACACCAAATGTAAGATGTAACACAAAAGATCTCCCTAGTTAGGTCAATCGTTTTCACACTTACATTCTCAAACCATGTAACATATCGGAAGAAATATCGCAAACCATTAAATTGAAGGATAGATACGCCTATGTACAATATCAAATCGTTTATATAGTACTATATAGAGATCTATCACAAACAGATCTCAAACAGCGCTAGTCCCTAGGCGTCTTCAGGTGAAGATGAGCTAGGCGTAAAGGCAAGCGTATGCCCGATTCTGTCGCTGTCTTGCTTTGGCCAACTTCGCTAGCCTGATTCATTGCCTTACCGGGGTTGCTGTAATATGCGTCAAGCAGTCTAGATAATACATTTTTCTGCCGTTGTTCTTTTTTTTAATACTAATGAAACTTGATTTTGGTCCATTTAGAATTCGGGTGCATTTGTTTTGCCACATTTATTGTGTCGCGGGGAGCTTCCTCTAGCCAAAAAAATCTATTGAGCATGCGCTGTAACAAATCGTAGTCTTTACAGCCACTTCAAATTACAAGTTGTTACAAAATATTACGAGATTTCACAAGGGACTTTACCGAGATTGTGGCATTCACACACAGCTATCCTTGCTAAAAGTTTTACCAACTTGTTACATGTGTATGTGGGAATTGGGTAAAAGTGACAATTTTAAATGTACTTTTCTGTTTTTTAGGTGGAGAAGAAATTAAAACTCGTTGAAGAACATGTTGCCAATTTAGAAGGGATCCAGGTTAGTTTGGAATCTGAACTTGAATCCTTGAAGTCACAGAAGACTGTCCTTGAGGAAGAGAATAGGCAGCTTGAAAACTCAGTAGAAGAGATACAGAAAGATTCTGAAAACCAAGTACAGAGCATTAATGAAGCTTTACAGATGGCAAATTCCAAAGTACAGCAAACTTCAGATGCGTTAGAAGGTCAAAAGGTGATTTATACAGTTTTTTCTTGATCATTTCTTAATATTTAACAGTAACTTCATCAATTGTTTTAGATTTACTGTATACAGTAGATCCTCGTTTTTACGTACCTTGGTTATACGAACCCTCAGTCAAAACCCCAAAATACTCAATACAAATGGCCTTTCCAGGGCCACCATAATGTTAAAAGAGATTAATGTTGTTTCTGTCTGTATAAAGTCAAACTCGCCTAAGTCGAAAAATTGTCAATGACGAAATTATTTTCATGTCACTTCATCTTTCCTATATTTATAATGGTTAATATTTGCTCTAACTCAAATAAATTTAAGTTGAGTATTAAAAAACGAAAGTCGAACATATTTCATGCCAAATTGATCGTTTGCCAATAATTGTTAGTCTGTAAGTTGAAGTCAAAATCTTGACTGTTTGCCGCTTTACCAACATCACTGTGAATGTCAACAAGTGACTCATGCATTTGTCAATGCAGAAATTCTCTGAGTTCGGCAGCCTCAGCAATTTTTTATTACCTAGGCCAATATAGTATAAACTACGATTTTCCCGAACGCTCGACCTTAATACATAGTTATCTACAGATTGTGATTTTGTTAATTTCTCTATTAAAATCAATATATTGCTGGTGAAAGAATGGTCGTACTTGTATTAATTTAATAGTGTAGTATAATACATATGTTTTACATAAGAAAATCGCCGAATAAATTTTGTTTTAGCGTTCGTTTTATGGTTATCTTGGGCATGGGAAATATCACTTTCGTAAAAGCTACGATCGTATCATCACAGGCTGCTTCAAAACTGCCCATGCATGTCCATGTGCATGCCCAGAATGATCTATCAGGAATTTTCCACACAACATGTACAGTACTTGTCAGATACTCTTTGTTGTCAGTAGTTAAGTCACGATGCGATAGTGATTGCGTTTAAACGGACGGTAGTATTAGGCCTACAATATGTTGAATTTTGTTGTTTTTAGATAATAAACAACATTTTAAATATGATAATAATACTGTAAAATGAAGACAAATAATGGATTTAGATAAGCATTACGATCTACGCGGCCCACGTGGCTTCAATTGGGCGATGTTTTAGGCCCTTGGCTGGCTGCCGTCATTCCTACCTAGGCCTAGCCTACAAAATGACTAGGCGAGAAAGACAAGACGATTGTACACAAATCATACGTATTGCATGCCTATTAGAAATAGTTATTGTACAAACAAATCTGTTTTATGAACCACCATTTTCCTTGGTTTGATGACGTACATGAAATTTAGTGTCTGCTATAGCCTGTTTCAGTCAAAGTTTTTGAGTTTCCAAGCAGTTTTTGAAGCAAAGAAGTCTACCTAGGTCGGAAAAAAATTGCTGTCCTGTAGCAATTCTGGCTCGGCAATATGGTCGGCAATTGCCGACGTGAAATTCATGGGCTGATTTACTAGTGTTTACATTGCATAGCGCTACTTTGTGTAGTTTATTTTACATGCAACTCAATTCACATTCCTCACTATTGTTAAGACGTGGTAAAGTCGACAAGCGACTAATGTTTAACCACTGTTTCAGGTTTTGTTTTTTTTTTATACAGTAAATTAAATTGTTTTGTAAGATACGTACAGTAATTGTAAAATAAATGTCTTATGGAAGTTAGGTATAGGGAATAAACCGTCATATAAAACAAATGCTATTTTTATCTTCATCCCGATCTTCGTTGCATACAAACTATCTGCAGAGCAACGCCTGCTCTCTTGCGGTGCAGTGAGAAGCAAGCATGTGCATGAGTAGTGGGCGATTTTTGAACGGTCCATTTTGCTGCGGGGTATACACATCTGGTTCACTTACAATTAATACACGTGTTGAAATATGTATAATAGACTTTCACCTAGTAAGTATTGGTTTGGTCTTCGGGATTTTCCAACTGAATTTATTGTATTTAAAAGGTGTTCGCTTGATGGCCATTCAAAAATCAGTTATTAAATGTTAGTTTATCAAATATAAATATGATTAAGCTTTAATTTAAGTATTGACTGATTCCTGTATACTGTATTCAAAAGAATGGTATAAAAGCAGTTAACAAAACATTTAAATACACTCTAATAATTGAAGAATTAATGTAATATATTGTTATTCTGAAGAATACTGCTTTTAAGGTAGGTTTAGGTAGCCTAAGCCTTTACTTCTGCACTAGGCCAAATGTGCAGTCAACCTTGTGCATGTACCGTCAGTGTGTGTTAATTTGTTTCGGTCTCCGTAAGGCCCAACTCTACTGTTGGTGCACAAAATAATTTCTTTCCTACTTAGTTTCGTGTGAAAAACTTGTCTGATCGAATTGTCCGAAGTTTACTAAAGCTGGGTAGGCATAATTTTGTACACGACCGCTAATTGTTTGTCTCATCCAGTGCATGCTGTTTTAGTTTGTCTCAGCACGCCCAGACAACACCGCATCTCTCTTGTTTAAAATAGCCATGAAGGGGCATTCCCAAGTTATACCTTTGTCCTATAGGTAATCTTACAATATTTTCATGTTTTTAGTTAGTTAAAAGATATAAAGTGATAACTTTTACACATGGTAAAGTGATGAATGAAAACTCTAAACACATGGTTTTATTTGTAGACCTAGGCTACATAATCTATTCGGTATATTAAAAACCAATTTGTTTTGTCATAAGCCTAGGTAACATCGTATGTTCACAACATAGTTTATTGAGTTTTACATATGTATTAGGTCAAAGTTTACCATTAATTTAACCCAACCTTGAACTTACACATCCCTGGATTTAGGTATGCCTTCTGGTCTCGCACCGTACATAAAATCAAGGTTCTATTGTATTTTCAATCTTTTCGGTATATTGCAAAGTATTTTTTTTTTTTATTGTAACTAATTTGATTATAACTTGATATTTAGAACTTAAAATAATTTACCAATATGTGCTATCAATTCAATTAAAAATTTAAATTGTACTGATTACAAAATCAAACACTTTGTATTTTTGTTCATGATAATGAAATATTTTTTGTTTGTTTATGAAATTAAGTAATTTGTTTTGTTTTTCATATGTAATATACATAATTTGTAATGTAAAACCTATTCAGCTATGTTCAACTGTGGTTCTACCATTCTGTATGCTATTTCGTTTTTTACTGAAATAATCAATACATTATTGTTTTCCAATATTTAGGTGCTTGTTGACTTAAAACAACAAGAGAAACAAGAATTAGAAAAAGAGTTGAATGACATTCAGAAGGAATTTGATGACTTTAAAGAATCACATAAGGTACAGATTGAGACATACGAACAGAAGTTAGGAAGTGAAGAGGCAAATGCAGAAAAAGAGTTAAAAAAGGTTGGAGTTGATATTATCATAGAATTACAAATTTTGCATACAAAGGAGAGCTAAATATTATTGTTTTTAATTTGTTTTAAATACATAAAAAATTACTTTTGTACTCACAGGCCAGATTAAATTTTTCTGTGGGTTGCCTATTAAGAACCAGGAAGCTAGAGGTTCTGTGTATTATAGAATTACTGTGTTCTAAGTAACAAAACATAATAAACACAATTTTACCTACCTTTTTTGTCTTTCAGGTGGAGAAAAAGTTAAACATTGTTGAAGATCATGTTGCCAATTTAGAAGGGATCCAGGTTAGCTTGGAATCTGAACTTGAATCCTTGAAGTCACAGAAGACTGTCCTTGAGGAAGAGAACAGGCAGCTTGAAAACTTAGTAGAAGAGATGCAAACAGATTCTAAAAACCAAGTACAGAGCGTTAATGAAGCTTTACAGATGGCAAATTCCAAAGTAGAGCAAACTTCAGATGCAGTAGAAGCTCAAAAGGTGATTTATGCTATTTTTTCTTGATCATTTATTAATATTTCACAGTTACTTCATCCATTCAGTAGATTTACAGTATATTTATTCTCAGTCTTTTCAGTATATTACAAAGTAATTTTTTTAATTGTGACTTATTTGTTAATAATATTATAACTTTATAATATATAGAACTTATAATGATTTAGCAATTATGCTATTCATTCAATTGAAATTTGGAAATTATGATTACAAAATCAAACACTCATTGTAATTTTTCCTTGTAATTTTGTTTATGATAATGAAATGAATATTTTATGTTTGTTCATGAAATTGAGTACTGTATTTTGTTTTGTTTTTCATATTTGTAATGTAAAAACCTGTTCAGCTCTGTACTACCATTCTGTATGTTATTTTGTTTTTACTGATATAATAAATTAATTATTGTTATCCACTATTTAGGTACTTGTTGGCTTAAAACAACAGGAGAAACAAGAATTAAAAAAAGAGTTGAATGACATTCATAAGGAATTTGATGACTTTAAAGAATCACATAAGGTACAGATTGAGACTTACGAACGGAAGCTAGAAAGTGAAGAGGCAAATGCAGAAAAAGAGTTGAAAAAGGTAGAATTTGAGACAACAGACATTACAAAATATTAATGTACAATGCAGTACAATAGATACCTTTATTATATATGGTACTGGCTTAGAGGCTTATGTGATTGCAAATACAGTAATACAATATAATAATACAATAATACAATATTTTTGGATGAAGAGGCTTATAGAAAATATATTTATTTAGGTGCTATATAAATATAAGCCTGGAGGAATTAGTTTACAAGGAGATACAACCAGCTAGGATCAAAGGTACAGCCCTCTTTGCAGCGATCGCGAGTATCTTACTATTACGTAACATACTTGACAACAGGATAAGCTGGAATCGACAATCGCACATGCGCCGGTAGCTCTTATGATCATAGCAAACAAACCACTTGCCAAGCTTAGCAACATACCGCAAGAGACATCGTGAATTAAATATGGATGAAATGACTAAATAATCTTGATTTCTATGAAATAGAAGATGAGTTGTACCATGAAATTCCCAAGGAATTAGAGCCGGCATACAAACTAGATGACCAAGAAAATTTTGATGTTTTTAAGTGACATGTAATTTGTGTTTTTTAAGAGAGTTTGGAAGTGTATTATAAATTAGGCCTCTAGGCTAGGACTATGTAGGCCCAACACACACAACACCGGCAAGCTAGGCCTATCCATTCTCTCTCGATCTCTAGCTAGGCCAGTCTAACCTCTAGGCTAGATGGCCTAGGCTAGTGTATGTTAGGCCTCGGTCTTCCTCAGACCTGCCAACCCCTAGGCCATGAAAATCTTGAGATTTTCCAAAAAATGTGGAGGTTTCCAGAATTAACCAAAATATGATGTAATTTACTAAAAAGACACATAAAAACAAATCATAGTGGTATAAAATCAATGGTACATAATTACTGCAAAACAACTTATTAAATTGCTGCTTGTCTGTCGCGGCGAATACATTGAATAATAACGATCTAATTAATCATTTATGCATAAATAGTATTTTGCGGAGGGAACCTGTAAAATCAGTGAAATCGGGTGAAAATTACATTCGATCGGGAGAACTGGAGATTTGTTTAGATATCGGGTGACACCCGGCAGGATCGGGTGAGTTGGCAGGTCTGCTTCCTAATCTTGTGTAATTAAACAGTTCCAATAATAACAGTGTTCAAAGTAAGGCTTGTCCCCTTGTCCCAGCCAACCAAAATGTCCCACGGACAACCAGAACTATAGGGCAACTTGTCCGTGGGACAACTAAAAAATTTTGGACCCAAACCTCACCTCAAGTAATCGTTTTTTGCCTCCCGAACTTTACTGCATTGTTGTCACAGGCGCGGCCATTTTGGATTCGCTGAAACACATGTTTTCTCTCGTTTTGGTCTGAGACTTGAACTGAGGCGCCCTCTCGCGTGTTACTTATAATGTGGCGGGCCCATAGAGATATAATAAGAATACTAGAGCGCTACCGCAATGTATTGATGTTTGAAATACGCAGAACTGTGTGTGTGTGTGTGTACCATCCAAGATGGCTGCCATAGATTTAGCCAATCAAATTTCGCTAAGCACCATCGTTTGAAATTGCACCCTCAATTTACTCAGAAAGTTCAGTACAGCTAGTTACCCGTATGTTTGAAACTCGAACGTTGCGGTGTTTGGTGTGATTTTAATTTTCATTCCTTCATACTTTATTTTTGAATAAGATGCTCCACTTGGCGTCGTTTTGGCTACAATAGTTTAATAATTTGTTATTACCATTACTCATTATCATTAATGAAATAATAGTCAGAGGGCTTATTAATATATAATAATATGTATTGTATACTAAGCCTGAAGGTGGCGCTTTACTACAACAGCATCTTGCATGGTACACATACATAACTTTGCATTGCTGCGCCATCTTTTTGCAATGTTTTTATTTTCATTCAAAGCAGCAGGTTAGCATATTCCATCTAACCCGAACCCCCAGGTCATCCTGTAGTAATGGAGCCTGGCTAATGACTCATGTGCATACATACAGAAAGCACTCACCATGCAGCTATGTTACAAAGCAGGTTAGCATGTTACAGAGGGCTACTAAGAGCCAGAGGGTGCATAATGGAATGGAGAGAAATTAAAATTATCAAATACTAGATACTAAAAGTAGTGTACATTACCAAACCCATGCTCTGACTGCTACAAAAGCAGGAGGGAAAACAGTGCAAGGTAAAAATGAAGCAAGCAACAGATAATATACGGACAATTAAAAACATTTGCGGACAATCAAAGTTTCTATCTAGGTTGTCTGCCGGACAACTTTAAGTTTTTCCCATAGAGCTATTAAACAACTAGAGTGCTGACAAGATGGCGGAGCAATGCAGAGTTATGTATGTGTACCATCCAAGATGGCCGTCGTAGTAAGGCGCCACCTTCAGGCTTAGTATACATATTATTACCATAAATAAGCCCTCTGACTGACTATTATTTCATTAATGATAATGAGTAATGGTAATAACAAATTATTAAACTATCGTAGCCAAAACGAGGCCAAGTGGAGCATTGTATTCAAAAATAAAGTACCAAGGAATGAAAATTAAAATCATGTACATTACACCCATACACCGCAATTTGAGTGATGTATGTACATAATTTTGATCAGATAGGGAGTTATAATCAATGATTGGTGAGTTAAGACTTTATATGTTTTTTAGGGTAGTTGTTCTATTTTTTTTAATAATTAGAATAATGACACCAGCAGAAAAGACAACTTCAAATTTTAATTGTAATTTGGTGGTTCTGAAAAGAACCGTTTGTTTTGAAACAGCATGTCACACATGATCTGGCTTCATTCTTTATTTGAAGATGCAATTTTTCGATTGTCTTGCCATCATCATCATCAGGTCAACTCAAATGGAGTGGTTGTTCATCCTATAAATAAAGTAAAATAAAAAGCATTATTTCCAATATGAAAAATGATAGCAAAATCAGTAAATAACAAAAATGTGTGCCTGTCACAGTAGACAAGCTAGGGCCTAGGCCTAGGGTAGGCTATTTAATAAATATTATAATAAATAATAACCTGTCAGCCTCTCTAGCATGGATAAATGTTTCTTTTTTTCAATGAAAGTCGTAAGCAGAGTAGAGAACTGAACTAATCCCAATGCACTATAATGTATGAGACTACTGTAGTAGGCATATCCTTGGCATAACGACACCGCTACAGAGGCCACAACAGATCCGGTCGAACAGATTTGGGCTACTTTTTTGATCTTCGTATCTTGAGCGGACATATTCGTACACGGTTAACTTGTGTACCAAATGACAGATACAGCTTTCTACTTTCGTTAGAACTAGATTTTATAAACCACTGACAACCGGAACCCTTTACAAACATAAATTGATTTACATCACTTTCGTTGCTACACTTTGGAGGCATGGAGCTGTGTGTATAAAGAGATAGTGTTGCGATAAGCTCAACGGGCAATCCTAGTGCATAGGCACTGGCTGACTGTTTAATTGTGTTAAAGATAGGCGATAAGGTCGAGTATCTCTTTCTAAACTAATTCCTCCATGATATAAGCTATTTTATTATTATTATTATTGTTATTGTTATTATTATTAAATCATACCGAAATATGGTCATGAGGACATCAGATCATATATATGCACTTCATCACTAAAAATGGGCATCCAACAGTTTTTTGTCAAATAAAATGTTATTGTCTGGACAAAGCATTAAAGTGTAATTTCGTGTAGTATAATGGGATCGTGCCCGGACCATAAATAATGCTTTTCTGCATCAAAAATGTTATAATTACTGTATTATTATTATTTAAAACAACTAGATAAACCATAAGCAACATATGTATTGCTATGGCAACAATCCATGCCAATACAGTACATATGTTGGGAAAAATCATTTTTTCAGTTCAAGTGTGAAGATTTTGACATTTTTAGGTGATACAGTATTAAACATTTGTAATTAACATGGGTATTAGAATATACTAGTGACATGAACTAATATCCTTTCACAAATAATTATATTATTTATAATACTGTATTTGATTGTGGTGGCAGTAATAATTTAATACAGTATAGATAGATCATTTAATATTATTTACATTTTTCTATTTTATTAGTTGAAATTGGAAATAGGCACCTTGGAAGAAAAGTTGAATGCTAGTGTGCAGAAGAACAGTGACCTATTGTCTGCAGAAGAAACTCTCAAGTTTAAACATTTGGAACTGACAACTAACCTCAAAGAGGTTAACGAAAATGTGAAACATCTAGAAACTACTAATTCTAGTCAGGTAATCTTTAAAAATTTAAGTACCTTTTGACACTTAACTGTTTGATATTTGTATTAATCAAGTTGCCTAAGTGTTTTTTTAACCTAATGATGATGGTGCTAATGATTAAAATGTCCAATTTGTGAGCCATATTTTATTACCTTGTAAAGAAAGAGTCTTTAATTGTAACATAATTTCATTGTAGGTTCTGAAATAAGAAACCTTGTAATGTACTGTACATGTATATTAAGTCATTCCAAAAATATCATTTATAGGCATAGATTAGAGGAATAGGAAAAGATATAACTTTTAAACTTGACACTGTAAGTTATCAAGATATTATAATTTTTTAGGCTGATGAACTTGGAGCTTTGAAGTCTGAATGTGAACAACTGAAATTAGCAGCAGAAAAAGCAAATCAGGACTTGTCTAAGAAATTGAAGCAAGCTGAAACAGATGGACATGACATTGTGAAACTTGAGGCCCAGAGTGTTAAGCTTAGAGCAGAACTTGTAGAAGAGAAAACAGAAACAGAACGTTTATGCAACCAACTACATCTTATGGAAGATAAAAATAGTGAAAAATTAAAAAATTATGAGCAAATTGTGCAGAAACAAGAGAAGCAGTTAGATGAATTGAAAAAAGATAAAGCATCATTGCAAGGCAAATTACAACTGTCTGTCAACAATGCAAGACGTCTTGGAGATGACATCAATAAGTTGCAAAAGCATATTCAAGAATTAGACAAATCTAATGGAAAATGCACAAAAAGCCCCCCAAAGGAGAGGAAGACAATGAAAGTAAATGATCAAGTGTTGCCTAAGCTAACCAGGAGTAGAAATTTGAAGATTGATGAAGCCAAACAAAAGGTAGCTATCAAAAGTCAGTGTGTGCAGAAACAAGAAGAGGAGACAAGTGACCATGTAAATCTGAACAAACGCAAAAAGGCTAGTTCAGACGAAGACTCATCCTGTAAACGTTCAGCTGTTGATAGCAGCGAAGATGAACCAATGCCAATCCTGAAACCAGTACGTCGCACTCGCCAGCTTCCACCAAAGAGAGGAAGAGGAGCACAATTGTCTACTGAAAATAAGAGTACCAGTGTCACATCAAAATCCCTGATTGTGAAGGACGAACAGGTGGCAGATACCAAACCATTTACAAGAAGTAGAGCATCCATGATAAGACAGGTAAGTATCATTAATATAGGAGGATATATTTTCATCTATAAAGAATTGTGTTGGTTGATGACCATCGAGCGAAGTGAGTGTCTGGCTTTACTGAGCAACTACTACTTATCGGTTATTACACCTGAGTGCATCCACATAGCTAAGCCACATTTTTGAAGGCTTTTTTGACTGATGTATCTAAATCTTATCATTTATAAATATAAAGCATAAGAAACACTCCATACACAATTATTGTATACCTCTGTCCTATCACTGAATATGTAATAAAGGGAAAAAATATTTTCCATGACCATTGACCATCAACCTCCAAGTTATATCACCTTTTCTAGTGACTTGGTACCAATTTTTAATAATCCATTATTTTTTAATATTCTGCTGACAAACAAAGACTTGGTGAAGGTAAAATATTGAGGTTGGCCATGTATTAGATATCTGATATGTAATTGTAAATTCCAGTTTACAAGGCCTAAATAAAAATACTGTACCATAGAAAGATACGCAGTTGAAAAATCTATTGATACTGTGGATGCACTCAGTGCTTGCCCACTTGATGTTGCTCAGTAACAACGGGGTGACACATGGTGATGTTGTCATTGACATAATATAAAACCAAAACTTTAAACATTATGAAACATCATTGTTACTCAAACTGCATCATTCTATTGTGTTATTCTATAACAATTGCACATGTGGGTAAAGTATCAGCTAGAAAATAATGCTCTTTAGATCATTCTGAAGCCATGTTGTTTGGGTAAAATTTGCAGAAAATACTTCAGTTGTCAGATGCCAAAATGCCAAATTTTAATGTATTATTATCTACAGTATGGTTGCCGTGTGAACATTTGCTTGTTTTTGTTTACTTTGTCTAATGGACCTTTCTGCAAAGCCTGCCCCTGGATATTGTTGCCAAGGTCCCACAAAATGACTTTAAAAACATACACAAACACATGCGTTTGTCAGACAAAACATGTGTTTATGAGATGTGTGTGTCTTTCAAACATCTAATTTTGTGTGTAAATTTTTTGTAATGTTTCCTGGTATCAAGACTTAGCGACAATGTGCTCAGTAAAGTCCAAATGTTATTACATTCTTGTTAAATGTTCACAGGGACCTGATGCTCTGTCTACAATCACGAACAGTCCAAAGAAAGATTCATCCACACTGGCAAGTAGGAAAAGATTAGGAGCAGCTCAAAGATCCCTCACCTTTCAAAAGGGGTCTGAAATAATTGCTTCATCAGAAGAGCCAAACACTGAATATGATGAGGAAAACTGCAAGATACAATAAAATGGATGGCCTACAACTGTTTCTTTTATGCATTCCCTCAATTTTCTTCAAAATTATTTTGCGTATGTAAGTACTGTAATCCATGTTGATAAAGCTTAGCAGGAGTAAGTATTGATAGACTTCATACATTCAAGGAATGACTTTCTATAACTAGGCCTAATCAATACACAATGTTGATTCTTTAAAGATTTTAAAAATGTTGATATTGAAGTGTCATACAGCGTTTTAAATAATAGCGTTTATAGTTGCCTTTAAACTAATGACTGTCCTGGTAACCATAAATAGTTAGACTTAAGAGCACCTTATGCATTTTGCAACAATAATAATGATAATAATAATAATAGGCAAACCTTTGGTTTTAAGATTTTATGTGCAGTATTTCACGAAAATTATTATATCTTAATTAATGTAAACAACTTTTCCGCTTAAATCACATGGCTTTCTTGGGGTTTTTTTCCATCCAAACCTTAAAATATAATAAATAATATACAGTATATGATAAATCAATATTTTACTTTCTTAGTTATTATTGATTTGACTGGTAATTGTTGTAGTAATATGCTATTTTATACAGTAGCTTCATTCATACATGTCTAGTTCCCAGAATTTTTGGAATGTGTAGCATTATTTGAGGTGTGTAGCACAGAGGGAGAGGGTTTGACGGTCTTCCGTCAGATAGACTATGGGCCACCATAATGCTGTTAATAGGTCATATCTGATGGAATTGGTCCGTAATTCCGTAAGTCCGTAATTTTTTAACAGATCCATAAAATTATTGTTATCAAATGGTCATATTTAAAGTTATTTATTTTAAACATCAAAATTAGAGATAATTTGGATAAAAACTATACTAAACTAATTTTCCATTTTTTTTTTGTTATTGTTAATTGACCATTCTCCAGCATGAACACAAACATTTTCAAGGCTGTAGGAAGCAGTTCGACTGGTCTGGTTTTAGGTGGACCAATATTTTCACCAATCAGTATCATTTGTATGCCAAAACCACCTTTAAAACTGTAATTTTGCTGAAAAAACTAAATTGCGTCAAAAGCATCAAAGTCCGTTTTTTTTTTCTTGCATGTGTACATGCCTGCTGGATTCAAACCGTTAAGAATAAGATGCAAAAGTAGGCCTACTTTATGTTTCGGAAGTAGTAAAACACCAGGACGATCTGGAGGAACAAAACCCTAGACCCTCCGTCAGGGAAAAATAGAGAACAGTTTTTTTTACAGTCTCACAGAGTGCCATTTTTGGGCATCTAGAAGTGCCTAATTAAAAAGTTTGCTTACCTCATCCCCAACTATACTAGGGCTGAAGTGATGGTAAATTTCAGATGGATACTTGTATAGGCCTACTATATTCCTCTTCAGGGTAGAGAGAGAGTTAAAGTTGGATAGTAGAGGATGAAGTTTCTAACCAGTTACAAGGTTTATGGACAATAAAGAAATCTTAGATATACTGTACTGTATTTCTATCATTTTGCAATAAATACAGTATATTTCACACAAAATAAAATATGAATTGCATGATTTGGTCATTACTAAGGAGACATACTAACTTCTGTGTTTAGTCATAGTACTGTTTTGTCAAACCTTGCAGTGGTGGGGACTGTAATTGTTGGCCGGACCAATCATAAACATCTTCCTATGGGCCTGTGTAAATTTTAAGAGTCCTAAAATACTGTACTAAAAATAAGCACGTCAGCTTTGAATTTAATGCAGATGAACACCAACCTTATCAAGAGTACAGTACTCTGATATTGAAGAATTGATTGCATTTATCACACGTGCATGTTCATAAACAAATTAATCTACTGTACATTTATTCTATACATACTCTGTTGTAGACTAGAGATTATACCGTAATTTGTTAATGGCTTCCAGATAGGCATGTGTAGTTAAAACTAGACAACTTATTTGCTTTGGATAACAGAGAATCATTGAACCATTTGAAAAAGTTTTATTTCATATCAAGATTTGATAGTTGTTAACAAGCTTAAATTCATGCATGTACACTTTTTAATTCCTATATTTGCTCAAACTATCTGGCAGCCATTTTTAAATTCTAATTGTACATATTTTTTTATATACCTTTGTGTTTCATTTGGATTTTTAGTTTATAGTGTTTATAAAATGTTTAATGTCTGTAATCAAAATGGGAGATACTGTATTATGGTGCTTGTTACTGTAATTATTAAAACCAAACTGAACTGCAGCCAGCTGACTTGTGTCATTATTCTTTAGTTAGAATTTAATACTGTAATACTGTAGAAGGCCAAAAAAAAAATAAAATTGTGTTGGCTAACATGTATTTGTAAAGCGCCAATATCCATGGCAAAATGCAATGTTCAGTGGCGCTATGACAAAGGTAAAACTGAGGTTATATACAGAAATTAAAAGATTACAAAGAAATAAAAAAAAAATTGTCAAAAAACTTTGAGAAGAGATGAGATTTTAACTTTTTCTTAAAAATTACTGACAGAAAATGAGGTTTTGATCTATTAACATGATTAGCATGGTCGCTGAAGAAAAATATGTGTAATTTAACTTTTAAAAATCACAGAAATAATACTAATGTGTACCCCTGACAAAATCTTACTATCTTTTGATGAACTCATCTTCTTAAAGCAGGTGTGAATCCACTTTTACCAAACTTTCAATTCAATGACTACATACAGAATATTGAGATATTTTTTTGAAAGTGTAGGTATATAAGATTACTATCAACAAACAATCCAGCGAGGACCAACAAGTCACCATCACCCACTGAAAGCTATAGAAATACGCACTTTACGTTATTTTAGGAGTGTTCGGATGTGGTGGATATGAGCACACAAGGAATTACTGCCGATAGAGTACAAGTAATTGATCCTTGAGAAATACTGTAGTGTAGATGATAGCGAATATCATCACTGTCCTACTTTGTAGATGACAATCCCTTACACAAGACAAACATACACACATGATGCTTTATACACAAACTAAATCTCAATACAGTGTATGAGGTTTAGGGAGTGGATTGTTTGGTCGTGAGAAAAAATCCTGCAACACTGACATGTATTGAACCCATGACCCTGATACTGGAGATGATGAATATACAGTAGTGATACTGATGAAGATGATAAATATGAAACGACAATACACGATTTATCGTGTATACGATAACAAAATATTTTAACAAATCAAATCAGATGACGTCATAATCATGGTAAAACGATAAAATCGTTGCTACTACCATGGAGGTATTATTGAAGAGATCACTCGAAAAAGCTACGCGCACGCAGCGTTATGCAAATGAACCAAGATCAAAGCTGCCGCAGCGCGTGAAGAACGTTTGTGCGATGCCTTTGAAGTCTGATGTGTTCCCCGCCACCAAATTCTTATCAGGCTTAGTTCACCAAAAAATTGAACATGGCGAAAGGGAGAGCACTTTATTTTCTTAATGCGCACTACTTACAGTCAATCACGATGGCTGCGTAATCGTTTTACACAATGAAGCTAATACATTGATCTTTCAAGACATACCAAACATAATAATATTTTCCGAAAAAAAGGTTTCGAATTTAATGAAAAATTTACATCTGCTTTAAAAGTATGGTATATTTCAACTTGAATTTCTATAAATTGGATAAAACTCGTTAATTCTAATTTTAACAGATATTAATTAAGGAGTGATGGAGGATTATAATGAACTAAGTCATTTTAGGGTTAACGAGGGTTAACTATTCAAAAATTCAATCCAAAATCAGAGAGTAATTTTCAGTTTTACGTTGCCTTAGATTTATAGACGAACCAATCGATCTCAGAAGTAATTTTAACATACATAATTTACGGAATCTGTTCCTGAAATATACAAATAATAACATACTAAAAGTCCGGAAAAATCCAATCAGGTGAACATTGTTCATTATAAAGATATTTAATGGGTTAAAATCAAAACGCTTTTTGCACAACTGCTCTGCTGAAAGCGTATAATGATGTGCCGCTGCCCCGGTGATTGGTTGTGAATGCCGTCATCTATACGTCGCAGCCAATCACCGGGAGAAATCGACGCACCCGTCGAAGACCCTATGGGGAACCCCGCACAGAGTGTGGAGGAGTAGAAACTAGGGACTTGAGAGACGGACGATAAACTGAAAGAGACCTACCTATACTACATATACCTACCACTAGCGAGTGAATGGTAAGTATGTCCACTTTGCAAAAGCTTTGTCGAAATCAAACCTTCTCTTTCAACCAAAATTCCCCGCGACGCTAACAAGTCATTCAAAGACTTTCTTCCAAAGCCAACAAATAATTCCATATTTCTTACCCCAGTTGATGAGGCTGAATTGAACCAAAAAATCCCCAGGTATTGACGACTTTCATACTAAGGCCATCAAATACATTGCTTATCTCGTCTTTTCGTTCATTTAGCCTCTCATTTAATTAACATTGCCCTAACTAGCCGTGTGTTCCCAGACAGGATGAAGTTATAATTACCGCGCGTTACCCCTAATCGGGCATCCAATCAGACCTCACTAACTATTGTCAAATTTCAATTCTATCAATTTTTTCGAAGGCCTTGGAAAAGGTAATTTATAATCGAATATTCTCATCTATTACTAAATATGATAAACTTTGTAAAAGCAGTTCGGTTTCAGAAAAGGACACAGTGTTTTAATGTCCCTTATCGATCTAACAAACAAAATTAATGCTTTTGAAAATCGCCAGCTTGCAATTGGACTTTTTATAGATCTTTCCAAGGCCTTCGACAGCATTGATCACAATATCCTTTTATTTAAGTTGTCCCATTATGGAATTCGTGGCCCCACCCTTAGCCTTCTCAAAAGTTACCTCTCCAACCGGGCTCAGTGTAGTATTCAACCTCTATATCTAATTACAGACCAATTACTTGTGGGGTTCCTCAAGGTTCCTTATTGGGCCCCTCCTTTTTATTTTATACGTCATTAATATCTATCAATCCTCTAAGTTACTTTTTTTTTCTTTACGCAGATGATACCACTGTTTTTTACCTGATTCCCTTATCCCAATACTTTGCTGCTAACAAACTTTCAATTAACCATAAAAAATGTAACTTCATCCTGTTTGTGACCCCACCCTACAGACTTTAAACTGTATTGATACTACCCTTTTAAACATTTTTATTGAGAGTTACCCTGTGTTCAATCAGCCAAGTTCTTAGGGGTACATATTGACAGTGGGCTTACATGGAAAAGCATATCAACGAAACTGAGAATAAAATTTCAAAAAGCCTTGGTATTATCAGGGAACAGTGAAATTACACTGTTCCCTGGTATTATTTTTAGATTATCCCAATCTGTACCCCATAATGTTCTCCGTATCCTTTACTGCTAGCTCCTCCCTAATCCTTCCTTATTTGAGCTACTGCAATATCGTTTGGGCAATACTTATTTAACCAACATTAACAAACTACACATTTTCAAAAAAAGAAGAAAAAAAAGGCTATTAGACTCATATCTGGCGCTCCACCACGGTCTCATTCCTCTCTCTTATTTTCCAATTTAAACCTTCTCAAACTCACTGATATTAACCATGTTCAACAAGGTACTTTTTTATACTCAGCCATTAATTCTATTCTATAATCATCTTCTATTCTCTAATCATTCTCTAATCTCAATTCACAATTATCATACTCAATCTAGTGCATAACACTATTTTCAACACAATATTAGATACACTGGTCCTATACTCTGGAATAACTTACCACT